GGAGCTAGAGAGTATAATGCTAAGTAAAATAAGTCAGTCAGAGAAAGACAAATATCATATGATTTCACTCATATGTGGAATTTAAAAAAACAACGAATAAGGGAGAAAAAAAGACAAACCAAGAAAGGGACTCTTAACTATAGAGAACAAGCAGATGGTTACCAGAGGGGAGGCGGGTAGGAGGGAGATGGGTTAAACAGGTGATGGGGATTAAGAGTACACTTACTGTGATGAGTACTGAGTAATGTACAGAACTGTTGAATGACTATATTATACACCTGAAACTAATATCACACTACACTAATTGTACTGGAATTAAAATTTAAAAAAAAACAGTACCATTTTTAAAAAGGGTTGATTTGTGCTTTCAAGCATAAAAAACATGTTAAAATATAACCCTTTCCAAAAGGCAGAAACAAAAAAAAAATCTTAAAACTTGTATCACTTGAGGGACTTTAGGCATGAATTCACAACTCTATTAAAATTAACTATAAATAAAAGGGGTCTATTGATGGAGGTCCTAATTTAAGAAATATATGATTGGCCATAGGTAGATAGTTTGTTGTCAGAACTGGGCAATGGGTATATGATGGTCTGTTATACTATTATGTCTACTTGTAGATATTTCAAATATAAAGTTAAATACGGAGCAATTTATTTAAATGATGACAAGGCACCAACATCAACTTTTCCCAATTTTTACATGTAATGAAAAGTCCAAGTCTTTCAAATCCATATATAATGACCAAATATTAGAATACTAATTTTAAAATGGTGAGGACCTTATCCAGAACCTGTATTATTACTAATACTCAAATATTTATTGAGAACCTACTGTGTTGTACATACTAGACAGGATTAGATAAATTTGACACACCTACCCTCAAAGAGCTTACAGTATAGAAGACATGACATGCATATGAATAACCATAAGACAGTGTTAAACCACTATGAAAAAGATATAGGTGATGCATGCTGGGAATTTAGAGAGTACTCAAACTCTCAGAAGCCTCACGTGCACCTGGACCAATGATAAGAAATGAGATATAATTCAATGAACACGAACATGGTCTTTTTTTTTTTTTTATTTTAGAGGGAAGGAAAGGGGCAAAGGGAAAGAGAGAAAGAAAGAGACAGAGAGACAGAAAGAGAGAGAGAGAGAGAGAGAGAGAGAGAGAGAGAGAGAGAGAGAGAATCTGAAGCAGGCTCCACACTCAGCGTGGAGCTCGATGGGGGGGCTCAATCCCACGACCCTGAGATCACGACTTGAGCCAAAATCAAGTCAGACAGACACTCAACTGACTAAGCCATCCAGGTGCCCCCAGGAACTTGTTCTTAATCATCCCAAACACCAAAACTTCATATTAAATGGGTCCAATAACTCCCATCTCCACCACAAGAGCTAGATAGAAATATACTCGGTGGCCTTTAATCTTATTAGCCCTTATTTGTCTGATTTGATATTAATATCTGATATTAACCTCATCTGATTTGGATTAGCTAACAATCCAGTGGCTGCTTTGACAGGAAAGGATTGCAATATATTAAATTACATAAAAATGCATTTAGCATTCACTTTGGTAAGGCACTGTGCAGTAAATTTTGTAGGGAGCATACAAAGATGATTTTAAACTGAGAGCCCTCAAAGAGCTTATACATAATCTAGTAGAAAAGACATACATACAACTATACAGCACAATAAAGCTTGTCATTTGTACATGAATCTAATTTGACCAGCCCACAAATTTGTGATTGTCAACAGCGGTTATACATGCACTAAAGATAAACCTGGAACCCAGCACCAATGACCCCCCCCCCCCCCCACAGCCTACCGAGCTTCAAGTAGCCTGTTGCCTGGTTGTAAACAGAGTGAAGTACACTGGCATGTCTCTAATACTGAATTAGCACAGTTTTCTAAATCAACCAGGCAATAGTTGATTATGAATGTAAGTCACACTTCGAAATGAATGTAAACCACATCTGTTTTATTGGTGACTTGGTGTGGCATGTCTAAGCATGTGGTGATTACCGACACCTTCTAAAACAACTGTATTAGTCTGCTGGAGCTGCCCTAGCAAAATCCCACCAGCTGGGTGGCTTAAACAACAATAATTTATCTCTTGCAGTTCTGGAAGCTGGGAAGTCCAAGATCAAGATGCCAGCAAAACAGGTTTCATTCCGAGGCCTCCTCTCTAGGTTTGTAGGCAACTGCTTTCTCCTAGCTATGTGCACAGTGGAGGGTGGGGAAGGGAGCTCTTTGGTGTCTTTTCTTAAAAGACCAGGACCCCAATCTCATGACCTTATTAGTAATCCTAATTACTCCACAAAGGGCCCCATCTCCAAATACCACACAGTGGGCAGCTGGGGCTTCAACATATTTATCTGTTGGCTATTACTGGAGATACAAATGTTCAGTCCATAACAAGAACCGGACATAAAATGGCTAAAGAAGATCACAAAGAAGGTTCTGGATGGCTCTGGGAAGAGCCCAACCCGAAAACATTTGGGGAAATGGGACACGTGAGTGGCTCACTTGGTTGAGTGTCCAACTTTGGCTCAGGTCACGATCTCATGGTTCGTGGGATGGAGCCCCGTGTCGGGCTCGCTGCTGTCAGTGCAGAGCCTGCTTTCGATCCTCTTTCTCCCTCTTTCTCTGCTCCTCCCCCACTCACGCTCTCTCTCAAAAATAAAAAAAAGCTTAAAATATGTGGGGGCACCTGGGTGGCCCAGTCAGTTAAGCATCTGATTCTTGGTTTGGGCTTGGGTTATGATCTCATGGTTGGTGAGTTCGAGCCCCATACTGGGCTCGGTGCTGTCAGTGTGGAACCTGCTGGGGATCCTCTCTCCCTCTCTCTCTGCCCTTCCCCCCGCTCTCTCTCAAAAATAAATAATAAAACATTTTTCTAAAATGGAGATGTTAAAAGGCACCTGGGTGGCTCAGTCAGTTGAGCGTCTGGCTTTGGCTCAGGTCATGATCTGATGGTTCCTGGGTTTGAGCCCCATGTCGGGCTTTGCACAGGCAGCACGAAGCCTGCTTCGGATTCTGTCTCCCCCTCTCTCTGCCCCTCCCCTGCTCTCTCTCTCAAAAATAAACATTAAAAAATGGAGGTTAAGAGCAGACTCTGGGTCCAGATAAGTCAGATTCAAATCCTAGCATTGCTGGGTGATCTTGGATAAGTTACTTAACCTCTCTGAGCCACATAAATTTATTTTTAAATTTAAAAATATCAAATCAGTTAATATATGTAAAGAGCTTAGAACAGAAACCAGAACATACTAAACACTATACGAGTGCCTGTTATTACTAACGTGCAATTTTTGGCAAGGAAATAAAAAAAGAACAGTACTTTGCAAACCAAAAACACAACGAAGATCTTAACGTTCAAATGAAACTAACAATAGCTAGTTCTAGCAATAATAATTCACTGTATGCTGGGGCAGGCATCACACCCCAAAGCTAAAAACATCTAACTTCCTCAGCAACTGAGTAAACACAAAAGCCCCCACCATTTTTTGAGTACCTACAATAGTATACAATAAGCATACCACTCAAGGGCATGGACTCTTGAGAGAGACCTAGGCTTGAGTCGGAGTTTCTCTTTGCAACTATGTGACGTGGGTATGGCAAGAAGTAAGGCTCCAAAGATTCCTCCTCTGTAAAATGGTAATAATCATGCTATTGTTACAGAGTTGTTTCAAGGAGTAAACAGGACTATGTAGGTAAACACGATGATAGCTATTATTACTATTCCCAGTCAAGGACCACGGAAAGGTTGTTTAAGCAGTCTTACAATATTTCAGTAACACCCAGAGGTAGCTAGTACCTCAGTTATACATTAGGGACACTTAAGCCCAGAAAAGGGAAGTAAGTTACCCAAGGCCACACAGCTAGTAAACAGCCCAAGCAAGCAGGATTCCAGGCCAGACTCCACGAAGAACTCTGCCCTTTACCTTAAGCCATCGTTCCCAATATCAACAGAATCCTTCCTTTTGGGGGGCTCAAGTGGTTAATTATTCACTCAACAAACCATTATTGAGAATTTCTTACATGCCAGGCACTGTCCTATATGCTGTGGTTATGGTGGCGATTCCTGGCCTTATAAAGCTTCTGTTTTAGTGGGAGAGACAATCAACAGGTAATCAGGTAACTGCTAAAATATAATGATGACGATGATGCAGACTGAGGCATGTAACTATTGGGAGGGGTGTTGGCCGTTTTAGCAAGCATGATCGGAAGGGGGGGGGGGGGGGTGCAGCTTGGCTTGTTCCAGAAACAAAAAGAACCAATGAGGTTGGAGACAGGATACAGAGCCTGGTGATGGTACGAATGTCCTTGAAGGTAAGGACCAGATTCGCACTTTTTGTCCCCGCAGCATCAAAGAACGTAGGATCCGGATCGAGACACACCTGAATTCGAGGCCTAGCTCCCTCTGGGCGGAGAGAAAATTACCTAATACCGTGTCACTATTTTCCTCGTGTGTAAAAACGCGGGCATGGTTACCGCTACCAAGGCTGCTGTGAGGGTTCAAGCAGGCAATGCGCATTCGCACGGTCATTATGGCATTTGCGGAACTCGGTGCAAGTACCAGTCCCCGCATGCCCTCCCACGTGGCCGCTCCCGTGCCTGCGCCCTCTATTACAGGGGCCCCGAAGACCTCAGCGGCATACCCCCAGTTTAGAGAAGGGCCTCTCCGGACAAGGCCCCCACCCGCGGCGTGCCGGATCCTTCCCGAACTGGCCCGCGGGCCCTCCCCGGCAGCACGAGTCCGCCAAAGCGCCATCCCCACCCTCCCCTGCCACACGCAGCCCCCCTCCCCCGGGCTGTCCCGAGGCACCCACCCCGCACCTCGCCACGCATCCCCCACGCCACCCCGTGTGACGTAAAGCCCGAGCCGGGACGCGGCGGTCGCCCCCCGCCCCTCCGGGCTTCCCCGGGCCACACCGGCCGGCGCCCGCACTGCGGGCCGCGAGGCTCAGGTGCCGCGGGCCGAGCCGCTCACCACGACGCTGGGGCTGCGGGTCGCCATAACGGAGCCGATGGGCGCGCGCGCCGAGGGCAGCCGGAGGAGGAGGAAGCCGGAGGCGCCACAGAGGAGGAGGCGGAGGCTCCGCAGAAGGCGGCGACGCGCGGGAGAGCGGAAAGAGCCGCTCGCTCGTGCACTCTAGG